AGAACGTATAGACTATTGGTTTACATTGTTGGTAATTGATTCTCTATATTTGACCTTGACCTGATCCTAATCCAGAGTTAATCGGGTCAAATGGTCACAGAATTTGGATTCAGCGACCTCAAAAACGTACAGATATGTAGGTTTACTTTTAAGGCAATTGACACTCTACATTTGACCTTGATCCAGACCTGATCGGGTCAAACGGACACCGAATTCGGATTCAGCAACCTCAAAAACATGTAAGTTTTCTTTCGGTCCTCACACTTTTTTCCGCTGCATTTAACTGTTTACAATTTAATCCTTTAATTGTTTTTCATAAACCATTATAAAATTTTATACCCCAATAATAACTACCATTTCTGGTTTTCCAAGTCTCAAATACGAGTTTTATAAAATATTATTACTTCTGATATAGTTACAATGAATCTCGTGTCTCAAATAATTATATTTTTCTATATATGTTAATTGACATTGTAAAATGTATAGAGAAGGCAATACTAATATTGCGAGTTCAATGAATTTCTACCTGCGGTCGCTGAATATTTAAGTCCGACTTCTTACTGCTCTTACTGCGCTTACTCTTAGAGCAAATACATCTGAAATAGAGTGGATCTAAATTAAAATTGCATATATTATAGAGTGTTTAAGGTTGTGGTATTCAAAATGTCTTGTGTCACTTGATGATTGAAACTACGAAGGGGATATGCATTACGAGATTTATTTAAACATTTATGTAATTTATTAGTGTGATAATTCCGTAACAGTGTAGTATTTAAAAGTGACGCTATAGTATATTAAACCAGAAGGTTTGAAAACGACTCTTTGCACACGAGCGAGACATATTGGTCCACAAGTCGAGCGGATGTGCAAAGAGGTTTTCAAACGAGTTTTTTACGATACTTTTTATACGACTGCAAACAGAGACCACAAAAATCAAATTTTAATATAAATCGTTTTTATTACTAAAATTACCAACGCATTAACGAAATAAATTAAATACAACTTTTAATTTAACTCGTTTTTATTAAGAAAATTGCTAATGCATCAACAAAAGAAACTAATATTTAATATTTATAGTAACATTTGAACATTCCTTCAAGGTTACGCTGGGAAAAGCAGTATTATTGTGCACCTTGTTTACGGTAATGGAGAATATTTTTGGTGTCGTGTTTTTAGTGCAGTTTTGCAGCGTGCGGTCGTTGTTTTCTTGTTGTATTCCAGTAGACGATTGTTGTTCTGGTTCTGTGGCAGCAGAATATAGTGAAGACTTTATCTTTTTCGAAACTTCCATTTTATTTCTCAAACAGTCATCAACGTAGCCCTCGGCAACTGTACTGGATTTCCACCCTCCATGGCGTTTGAGGGCAAGCAGATTTGAGCCAGAATTGACTAAAATTGTGGCCGATGAACGCCGAAAACAATGTCCCGTGTAACTTTCTGGATTCTCTAGCATCAAAAACTTGGCGATTTCCCTAGCCATGTTTCCAATTTTGTTGATGCCAACGTTTTGGCTTGAACATTTTCCGTTTTGATAGTTTAAAAAAAACCTGCCTGTCTTCAGATTAGGAGGACGAAGAGCACAGTACTTTTTTAAGATAGTGTAAAGGTTTCCTGTAATTGTAAAACACCTTGGTACCTTTGTTTTTGTATTCTTCAGTTTAATCAGCATAGCACTGCCGAAATCTTTGGTGTCTTCTATTTTGAGATAACATAATTCCTCCCTTCGACATGCCCCAGATAGTCCAACTGCCACCACCGCCTTGATAAGTAAATATTTGTCGTCTGATGCTTTCGTCAAAAACCGGCAAAAATCATCTTCTGTGAGGATTTGGGACTTCTTTGGGACGTAGTTTTCGGATTTTCGTTTGATTAGCGCTTGCAACTTTTTATAGCTTCCAAGATCTATGTTGTGATTGGCACTTAACGTTGACTTGAGCATCGAAAAAATCGTCCACAACGTCGAAGATTTATATTTCTTAGATAGTTCTTCAAAATACACCATTACTGCGTTTTCTGAGAAAGTTTGGACATTTTTGGCTAGTCGCCAGTCCATAAATCGGCTTAACTCAGCTTCATACCTGCTTCTGGATTTTGTGGGCAGCAGTTCCGAACATATTTCGCTTGCTTTCTGTAAAATCTCTTCAGAATCACACATTTTCACACCCAAACTTCGGGAGTTCAACAATTTTTGAGGTATCTAATCAACAAAATGAAGGAGCCGTGACGGTTGCTATGAAACTCAGCCAACTTGAAACATTGCATAATTTGGGTGACAACATCAAACAAAAATCACAATCTGGAGACGCGTGTGCAAAGATGACATAACCGTCTGCAAAATGTTTAGCACACGGCGTGTGCAAAATACCGTTTTCAGAGCGTGTTTTCCGTGCGCAAAACCCCTTTTTGCAAAAGCTTTTACTGAATTAGCTTTTAGAGTATATTTAACACCTCTTAAGCTACCTCTCTGAGATATGTTGTATTATTATTATTGATGATGAGGCCCGTGGCTTTTTTACCGGGTGGGCAAGAAAGAAAAAAAAGGCGCCACAGGAAATTTTTTTTTAAATTTTCAGGGTCAAACGACTAAATGCAACTGGAAATTTTTAGTTGCATTTACAATACAGATATAGAAAAACTGATGTTTACAAGCAGGATTTTTATTAAGATTTTATAAAAAATAATACGCAAGTATTTGGTTATTTTATTAATCCGCTCTCAAATAATAAATAGGAATAAATTTCCCCCTCATTTTTTATTATGGAGATCTTCGCTAATAGCCCTACTATAACCGTAAATTAAAAAAATTCATTATTAATAATAATATCAGAACTTTAAAAATTGTATTCACAATAAAATTAAGTAACAGAAAAAAAAAACAAATCATATGTTTACCTAATATTTTCAAAAATTGTTCCTACTTGGTTTAAGAATATTGAAAAATGTGAAAAAATATAAAAACAAATTTTCATGAGGTAGCCAGTCAACTTATCTATTTACATATAAACCAACGCCGCCAGCTTTTCGTTTGCCTCCACTTTTAACAAAATATTTTAAAAATATAGTGATGTTTTTATAAAACAGGTTTATTCGTCCGTCTTTTAAATTTGCAAATTTACTTATATTTTTGTAACATGTAATATTTCTATAAAATTGGGGATCGGCACTAATACTTTGCAATAGTTCAACCTAAGTTTATGTTTTATTCGTAAAATATAATATTCATGCTATTAACAAAATATCACATAATAAAATGAAACCGGAAATGCCCTAAACTTTGTTATTTCATATGGAACACCCTGTATATTATTTTTGTTTTCAATTAATTCTGCTGAAGAAACTAACACTAAAATATATATTATGTCCTATACCTATCTTTCACAGTTTCCGAGAAAATCGCGCTTTAAAATGTGTCATTTATAAAATCCTTTTGAAAGAAAACAAACGAAGAAAGGGACAAAGTCATATGATATCTTTAACTTATTTTAGAATAGATGCAAATACGGCGTCTAAAAACAAAAGCCTGTTATAGCAACCATATTAAAATTAAGATTCCTAGGCACCTCTGATTTATGCATTGACTGATTATATCGTTTTCCATTTATGCATCGTTCAGTTGACATTTTTACATTAAACATTTAATATCTCAAAAACTCCGATCTTTGGGTATAGGGAAGTGTACATAAAAATGATTCGAATTTGTTTGTAGAATACGAATTCTCAATTAGTTGTAGGGCATTCCATTAAAATTATTGCAGTTACTTGCTATTAAAGATGACTTCCGGTATTTTCCGGATGTGCCGAAAGTGGGACATTTTTATGATATCAGACTTTAGTACTTCTAAAATAAGTTAAAGATATCATATGACTTTGTCCCTTTCTTCGTTTGTTTTTTTTTTCAAAAGGATTTTATAAATGACACATTTGACATTTTAAAGCGCGATTTTTGAGAATTGACGGTCAGTTGTTTTTATGATTAAATTTTGTATCAAATTCTATGATACGCATGCCCAAGCTAAGCTAAAGCCTGGGCAGTAATCTCGTGGTCACCCGGTATCTATTGGTGATTTCAACTTAGTACCAAAAACTTTTAAAAACGAAAAGAAACCAGGTTTACAACTGGGTTTCGTATTCATTTCATTGTTAAGTTCTACCTAATTTTTGGTTTCTTCTTACCTTAGTCTAGAAAGCACACTAAAGTATTGACAAGAAAACAATAAATTAAGAAAATATATTTATTGTTGCTTACAAAATATTTTAAAATTTGTAAGAAATTACATACTGTTCATGTGTTAATCGATATCACGCCAAATCTACCACTTTTAACCCTGACCCCTTCGATTTGGTTGAAACTTTTTTATTGTTTTTTACCCCATTGAAAACCTCTGAGAATTTTTTCAAATTTTTTCACCCAACTCAAAAAAGCTTTTTTTTTCATTCTCATTGTTTTTGGATATAGTTTTCGCAAAAAAATACAAAAAAAATATTCAAAACGATCTTCTATTTTTTTTAACTTTTAAAAAAAAAATCGAAATTTTTTCATGTTTACCACTTTCAATTATTTCTTTCATATATTCTTTTTCGATTTTGGGATTGAATATACATTTTCAAAAATTTTCAAAATGGTATGCGAAATAAGCTAAATTAAAAAAAAAATTTCAATCAATAAAAAAATAGAAAACGAAAAAACCACTGAAAAATTTTGAGGATTTATAAAAAAATTTCAGTTTTTTAAAAGAAAAAAAAAAAAAACAAAAATGGTAATCATCGAGAAATTTTCGGTTTTTTCGGAAATTGAAAAAAAAACTGAAGATAGGAAGTAGATAATTTTGATCTATTTTTTTTTCAAAAAATTCATTTAAAATAAAAAATTTTGAAAAAAAACGTCCCGATAACTCAATTTTTGAAAAAGTTATGGTTTTTAAAAAAATTGTTTTTTTTTTCAAAAATTCATAGCTTTTTTTGAGTGTGGTGAAAAAATTTGAAAAATATTCTCAGGGAGGTTGTTAATGGGGTAGAAAACAATGAAAAAGTTTCAGCCAATTCGAAAGGGGTCAGGGTTAAAAGTGGTCGATTTGGCGTAGAATGCCCCATATACAATAATTATTCTAACGCAATCCAAAACAGTATCACAATGTAGGAATTCAGAAACGGCAAGTTACAAAAAAACAGTTAATTTTGAAACTACTTGTAAATTGCATCTTATAAAAAATATTTATAAGCTTCAAAACTAATTCAAATATCAGTTTTAAAATCTCTTGAAAAGTAAACTTGTCACTTAATTAATTACACTTTCTCTTTTATTTGTCATAAAGTTGATTAAAAATTAAAGTTCATATATCTCAGTCCAACTGTAGCATTGTAGGCTAAAATCTAAACCAGTCTTCTAGGCGCTCAAGGCGTAATATTGTCGAGAATCCAGTCCATGTAGTACGCTATTTTAGTGTACACCCCAGGAAAATTTTCCAGACCACACTCTCTCGGTCCGAAAGACACGATTCCCTGCTGCACGTATCTAGTTTCTTCGCTTAGGTAACTTGCCACATGCAAGGGGCCGCCACTGTCTCCGGAGCAGGAATCTTGCCTCTTCTTTCCGCCCGCACAGAGCTGCTTATGAGTTAATTGTACGTTAGTGCTTTTCTTATAGGCGGTTTGGCATTGATCTCGGACTATTACGTCTATGGTTACCTTCTGCAGAATGGAACTGGTCCGACCTGTGGCAGATAACTGTTTTAGTGGATATAGCAGAACAGGTTCAGGATAATAACACTATGAAGTATCTTAAAAGGTTAAACGTACAGCTATTGCTTATAACTGGACACTTGTTTCAGTTTATTTACAATTTAACAGAGAGGTACAATAACAATCAAAAGGTTCTGTTACACATTAGTGACTCATTACACAGAGCAAAAAAATTTAACTTTTTTTTGGAAGCAAAAACTTGAATATACAGGGTGGTCCGTAAGTAATGGACCATAGAGACATACTAGATTTTTTACTTCAAAATATTACGATTGGAGCCAACATGCCTTAATAAAATGTTGATAACAAAAAAGATACAGGGTGTCAAAGTTGGAAATTAAAAATTGAATTTTCGTAATAATTATAATATTTTTGAGTGTATGAACGTGAAAATTTAGGGGTAGATGTTTCTGTATACGAGAAATCATAATTTGTTATCTATTTCGATGTATCTTCTAGAGGGCGCCACATACGCCGTGTTTATGACGTAAATACGAGCATAATTTTTTTATCCACAACGTTAACGCTTCTTTTTTTAAAAAATCTTAAACCTACATTATTTTCGTGAAAAAATGGTATACTTGTCATTAGCTCTAGAAATTGTCCGTTTTCAAGAAAAACGCATTTCAACAATCTGCTGCATGTTTCATTACAGGAAATTTTATCGTAGTGTGCGCTAATGAAAACATTAATTTTGACAATTAAACATTATCCCTTTGTACACATTAAAATACAAATTATCAAGTTGATAAATTTTATTTACAAAACCAGTTAAAGGAGAAATTTAATTAAACAAAACTATGATTTTATCAAGCGTTTAACAAGTAAAAAACTGAATATGTACCTAAGGAAAAATAGGAAATGTTTCAAAGTAAATTTTCAATATGTCCACCATTCACCTCGATGCACTTGTCCATACGATTTATGAAAGATCGTCTAATATTAAATAATACCATTGGATCAAAAAAAGTTGAGGCATTACTAATTTCTTGCCAAAGTTGGACGCGAGTATTTATAGTGTTTTTATAAACAATTTCCTTCATTGTGCCCCATACACCAAAATCTAAAGGGTTGAAGTCTGGACTACGTGGCGGCCAAGGAAATATACTACCACGGCCAATCCAACGTTCAGGAAAGTGTTGGTTTAGATATGTTCTTACTTGATGAGTAAAATGTGGCGGAGCGCCATCTTGCATGAACCACATATTTTGCCTCAAATTCAGTGGTAACGCATCCAATAGATCAACAAAGCTATTTTCTAAAAAATTTAAATAACTTGTACCATTTAAATTTCCTGGCAACTCATATGGACCTAGAAAATGGTTTCCAATGATCCCACACCAAACATTAATCTTAAATTCATGTTGAAAGTGCCGTTCTCGAGTTACATGAGGATTTTGAACTTCCCAACAATGCTTATTTCTTAAATTGAAAATACCTCGGCGAGTAAATGTCGCTTCATCTGTAAACAATATTCTGTTGACAAATGTATAGTCAGTATTCTGCTTGTTCCGAATATCACTTGCAAATTGATATCTTGAAGGAAGATCGACAGGTAATAAATTTTGAACTGGTGTAAAATGATATGGATGATATTTTTCTTCATGTAATGTCTTTAAAATTGATGTTTTATTAATTCCCGTGGCTGCAGCTAATCGTCTTGAACTAGTTTGTGGATCATCTGCAATGCGAATTAGTATTTCGTCTTCCTGGTCAGGCGTAATCATTTTTGGTCGACCTAAATTATCACGTTTAGGACGAAATGAACCACTTTCGCCTAAGTTTCTGAATAGATTTTGAAACAGTCGTTTACCAGGTTGCAATCTGTTTGGAAATCTTCGGCAATATTCACGTTGCGCAGCACGTCCATTGAAATTTTGTTGACAATAAACAACCGTCATATCTCTCATTTCCAAATTCGAGAAATTATTATGTCTCGGCATAATTCGTTATTTTCTTTTAAATACTTAATTGATTTTTACCAAAAATTAATAAATACAATTTGAAATAATTGCTAACTGTCACAATGATTTTTTCTAATTGTCAAAACTGTCTTGGCATTGTCGCACACTACGATAAAATTTCCTGTAATGAAACATGCAGCAGATTGTTGAAATGCGTTTTTCTTGAAAACGGACAATTTCTAGAGCTAATGACAAGTATACCATTTTTTCACGAAAATAATGTAGGTTTAAGATTTTTAAAAAAAAGAAGCGTTAACGTTGTGGATAAAAAAATTATGCTCGTATTTACGTCATAAACACGGCGTATGTGGCGCCCTCTAGAAGATACATCGAAATAGATAACAAATTATGATTTCTCGTATACAGAAACATCTACCCCTAAATTTTCACGTTCATACACTCAAAAATATTATAATTATTACGAAAATTCAATTTTTAATTTCCAACTTTGACACCCTGTATCTTTTTTGTTATCAACATTTTATTAAGGCATATTGGCTCCAATCGTAATATTTTGAAGTAAAAAATCTAGTATGTGTCTATGGACCATTACTTACGGACCACCCTGTATATTTCCGAAGGATTTAGGTGCGCTGAATCCGAATCTGGCCGCAGAATTGCTCTATCACGTCAGGTTTTTGAGATATCCTAATATCCATATTTGAGGTTATGTAGTAATGCCATCTATTCTTTTTCAAAAAACTAATACATTGAATCTAAAAGTACAATGTTCCCTCCTTCGAATGCCGTTGAGTTTGCTCAAATATATATTTTTTTTCGTTGAGAAATCACATGTTGAAATTTTTAAGTTTCTCAGTTTCTTAATATGCGAAAAACTACTAAGGATCCCTTAGACATCAAGCAGTCGATTGCAATTTAGAAACTTCATACCCATACGGTTTGTGGGTTTGGAGGTGGTGGGCTTGGGGTTTGTAAGTTTGGAGTTTGTAGGTTCGGGTTTTTGTGGGATTGGGGTTTGTGGGTTTAGGGATTGTGGGTTTGGGGTTTGTGGGTTTGTGGATTTAGAGTTTGTAAGTTTGAGTTCGCATGTATTGAAGGTTTCTGAATATGAAGTTTTTGAACTGCAATCAACTGTTTGACGTCTAAGGAATCCTTAGTAGATTTTCACATATTAAAAAACTGATAAACTTAGAAATTTCAACATGTGATATCTCAACGAAAAAAAAAAGATATTTGAGCAAACTTAACGGCATTCGAAAGAGGGAGCCTTGTACTTTTAAATTATATGTATTCTTTTGAAAAAGAATAGGTGGCATTACTACATAACCTCAACTATGACGAAAAACAGTATTTTTGCACTTTTAGGTTAGGATATCTCAAAAACCTGACGTGATAGAGCAATTCTGCTGTCAGATTCGAATTCAGCGCACCAAAATCCTTCAAGAATGTACATTAGTGTGTCTGCTTCTTGACCCTTGTTGACCTGTGAATTAGTTATTTTTTAGATTTTTAGGTCGTTTAGATTGGTTGCATTGTTTCGATTGTGTTAGATTGATTAAATTGTCTTTACAAAGTATGTTTTTACTGTGTCAATTCTGTTTGCAGTAAAATTGTTAAATTTAAAATTGTAATTGCACTGTTTCCTTTGAAGTCATATTTTTACAGATATTAGCAAGGTATGCTTTTTTTAAGCAGAATAGTTGGGTGAAAAGACATACGGTGATACAAAAAAGTTTTGGCAATTTAAATGCGTTCTAATGGTAGCGTGTGGCGCTCTCTAGAAGCTACAACGAAATCGTCGACAAATTCGAATTTGTGTAGTGATACTATTACGTGTAGGAGAGTACAAAAATAAAGATCAGTAGTTTACAACAGATTGATCCCCTTATCCACCTTCCCCAAGAAGCCTGACCGCCCTCTGCGTTAGGAGGAAATAAAAGCCATCATGACTTCCCCATTAATTTTCGTCGTAGAATCTAGTGGTAGAATTTGTCCCATTTTTTAACGGACATCCTGTATAACTGACTTTGCTGAGGTATATTTTTGTTATTTAAAAAACTACATACGGCAACTATGTATGTTTCAAACTTTAACAACTAACAATAAGAAGAAAGAAAATAAATCTTATACGCTTTCAAATCTGAATTAATTTAGTATTGAAAAATGTCCTTTTCAGCATTGTTTGAATTTTAGAACGGAAGATCCTGGTTAACAGAAAACACATATTTTATACCCGCTGATAACAACCCTAAAGTACTTATGGGCTTTTTCGCTGGGGAAATGGTTCCTGAAATAGAACAAGAATCCAATGAAGTTCTTTCGGCTGGTTGCATGTACATGTTTAGAAAATTCCTGGGTAAAACACATAACAATATAACCGACCCAGACGATATAATTAAGTAAGTTAGTTTTTATATAAATATTTAATAAAGGAACAAAAGAAACAAAAATAATTTGCCATTGTATTCAATAAAATATTTTCACATAACTATTACTATAATTTTTTTTTATTTATAAATAATATAATATATAATTAAGTTAATTCAAATCAAGTCTATTCTCATCTAATGAAATCTTGTGCTTTTTGACACCAATATAGTAAGCTTGGGTGTTTACTAGATCTGATATTGCAGTGTAATTCAATACTAGATTCGCAGGTCCTATAATGTTATTAGTAATTAGTCTTTGCATACCTAGATGTTGTTTCTTGCATACCTAGATGTTGATGTTAAAGAGCTTATAGGACTTCATCAGATAACAATTTTAGAAAAATTTTTATGTTAAAGCAAAAATACAAATATGGAAAATGTGTAATTTTCTGTTAACAGCCTTTTAATTTTATGAATACCATTTTTTAACAGTAGCTAAACTGCAGAATTCAAATTTTTTTCTAATTTTCAAAATTTTTGAATAATTAACTTGTTTAATGAAAATTTCGAAAAGGTAATTGTTAAAAAAAATTAGGTATATTCTTTAAATTTTAATAAAGCAGGTTTAGAATCATATAGTGGCTTAAAGCAGTTCTGGAATGTTAAGTATGCACACATTTTTTCCGTTGTTCATAAAACTCCTCCTTTCAGATCGATGTGGTACAGCAATCCCCATTTTCGTGGAACATACTCCTACGATTCTGCCAAAAACACCGAACAAGGATTACAGAATAAATTAGCAGCACCCTTGTTACGTAAAAATGGAGATCCAGCCATACAATTTGCTGGAGAAGCAACTCATCCACATCACTTCTCCACTGTCCATGGTGCCATCGAATCTGGATACAGGGAAGCCGACAGATTGATACATTATTACGCCCAACATTAGGCATATTGCTCTTTTCATTGATGTATGTACATATTTTTACAATTAACAGCAATTAAACAACTTCTTCTTTAATCTTGATACTGTTTATTTTCTTTTCGAATACACTATCATTTACGACCTTATTTTGTACATGACATTTTATTCAATTTCTATTTTTATACATAACAATCAATATTAACTAAAAGAAAGAAAACGTTATTAAACGATTTATTTTTCTTTTCATTTTCTTTATAAAAACAAATACATATAATTTTTAATTCCTCTAACTCTCCCATTTCTAATCCTAAGTTTTTGATACCTACTAAATTGCAATTGTCTTAATCCCTTTGTTGACATATCAGCTAATTGACAAATAGCATGGTCACATACATCAAGATAGAACAACAACAAAGATCTTTTTGTCGTGGTGCCAACCAAAGTTTCCCTCAATTTCGGTGTAATAGATTCTGATTATATTTTTATTTTGGAATTGGTCACCAAAAGTTTTAATAAAAAATACCTGACCTCAGTTAAAGATGCCAAGGAAAGTCTTCGACTTCAACTGATGACTCCCATATTCAGAAAGTCAAAGGTCTGGTGTGTACATCGTCGACAGACTGTCAGAGAAATTGCAAAACAGGTTAGTATCTCATTTGGTCATGTCATGAAAATTTGACTGAAAAATTGAACATGCATGGAGCTGCAGCAAAATTTATTCCCCGTTTGATGACCGAACAACAGAAAGAAAAGCCTGTGGACGTTTGTCAGCAACTCCTTGATCATTCCAGTGAGTTTAAGGAACCTTTGTCTANTTTCTATAGAGTTGAAACAACCCAATATTCGTTATAGGCCTGTAGTTAACCCTGGTAGTTAGATTGTCACTTGCACTTGTTAAAAGGGAATTAATCATAATTAGAATACTTGAGTGGTCAGAAATATTAGCGTCATAAACATGAGTAGAAAAGGCATTGCAGTCAAGATTTGTAAAAATATTGTCAAGACAGGATTTACCCCTGGTACATGCAGTGATCGTTTTACTTAAGCCGAATGAGAGACACAAATTTATAAGGAGGTTAGACTCCTTGTCATTCAAATTAAACTTTACATTAAAGTCTCCAGTCAGTATAATAATTTTCCTCATATTGAGTTTATGCAAAATTAAACTAACTAAACTAATTAAACTAACTAAATTAAATTAAACTTAAATTTACTTTACATTCTTCGAAAAACTCAATGTCGTAATTTTTTTTTTCATGTATTGAAATCTTAATAGTCCAAGAATCTCATGAACGCTGCGTATTATCGAAAAAAAATCAAGGGACCTTTTAGATTGCTTTTGTATGGTAGTATTTAAATTTACTTTACATTCTTCGAAAAACTCAATGGCGTACTTTTTTTTGAAAAAGGGGCCACGCATCCCCCCTTTGCACGCCATTGGCTAATGCGATAGGACTAATATTCTGTTAATTATGAGAACCCCCAATACACATAATGTGTACCAAGTTAAAATCCAATCTACTCGTGGATAGCCGAGATATGTCAAAAAGTGTTTATTTTTTTTAAAGCTTCAACGCCCTGTATCTTCAAAACAAAGACTTTCATAACAAAATTTTATAGAGCAAACTACACTTAATTTTTGATAGGGAATACATTCCTGCATTTTCCAAATTTAAAGTGAAAACAAGTGAAAAATAGGTTTGGTATAGGCAGGTTGTTCTTTTAACATTTGCTTTCGGTAGAAATATCAAAAAGCAAATATTTTTTTAAACGTTTTATATTCTTATTGCATGCTGTTAAAATGCACCATATCAGAGAAAAATGGATTTTAATTTTTTAATGTAGCCATCAGTTACAGTCACCTTTTTTAGTCATTTAGCGGAACGGAATTAAATATTTTTTTACGATTTAGACCAACTTAACTGCATTTAAAAGTCGACACCAATGGGATAAGGGAAAGTTTTTCATCGAAATTTTGCCATATTTCTAATGCGCATAGTCATTTTTCATCGTATCAAGACGTTTTTTTTTCATTTTGTAGGTAAATATCTGTCCTTTAAGGAAAAAATCTACGCAAAATGGATGCGAGTCGATACCGCATCTCCATGTTCTGATGAATCCCAAGCATTTTTTTCTTAAAAAGTTTGATTGTTTGGCGCATTTCCTGAATCGCCCAGAATTTTTTTCGAAAATAGCACATAGACCATCGCAATGTGCACTTTCTAACAAGCAAAATGAAAAAAAATCAAGTCTCTATAATTAATTTTTCTCTGGATCGGTGCATTTTAGCGATATGCAACAAGTATTCATATTCAGCTATCGTAAAAACTCCCCCATACACAATTTAATTAAGATATCTACACTTGTAGCTTTATTCAACTAAAACTGATTTGTTCCAAACCCATTAATCTGAAGTAAAACTTACCAACACTTAAATTCATTGTGCTGACTTTCAGCAGCGCAATGTCATTACTTATGACTGATATATTAAAGTTTGGATGGGGGATGACCTTCTCGATGGCCAAGTCCTGCACTGGATCTGCACACCTGGTGCTACCATCTTCTAAGGTTTCGCAGTCCGTTTTGGTAAGGATGTTGTGTTCTCCTACACGAACGCCCAGTCTGAGCGAACAAACAAGAGAATGTTTAATTTTAGTATGCGTTCGTACATTTAGATATTACACAAATGGAGAAGATGCGATTAAGAAAATATTAGGGGCATTGGGTCAAGGTCAACTACCTAATAAATGTGAGAGAATATACAATTGTCACTTGGTGGGCCAGATCTACAGTATCTCCATTATGAAATTTTATTGATGCCTATATTATCTTGCTGTCAAAAAATTTAGTTTCGCTTTCTCTATGTTCTATTTCTCATCAAAAAGGATTCATATTTTTACCTATTTAATGCTATCGAGGCCCAACAAGAAAGAAATATTAATTTAAAGACAATTTAAAAAACAAATTTTTAATAACTTACAGTGGTTCCTTCAAATTAGACACGCAGTGTGCCGCAGTCAAGATCCATTTCTTGTTTATGATTGTTCCTCCACATCTAAACTGAGGACCATTTTCTGTAACAGAAAAAATGTAACATTAAATCGTTGATCGCTGTTTATTAGAGTTTATCATTAATTCAATCCTTCAAAATTCAAATTCGAATTCAAATATCTTCCAAAATTATATTTTTTTTATTCAAGGTCCCTCTTTATTAGAGTTACAATTTAAGGTGCTCGTCTATTTCTGAGAAATTATTATTTAAGGATAGGTACATTTTTTTTAAATAACCCATTAAAACATTAATAGATAAAATGCTAACTAGTAGCAGTAATTTTAAACTAGCGATATATTTTTTTATATTTACAAATATCTACAGGGTGTACCAGAAAACAGTGAGTCATACGTAACCATAGATGCCTAAGATAAAAACAATTCAAGTCAACTTTTCTTAATCCAAAAATACTTTGTTTAAAAGTTACAATTACAGTACATTGCTCTGCTAGGCCATTTATTGACAACAAATTTATTGCCAGGTCGCTCAGTGCGGCTGTGTTTGTGCCGAGTTTGCCCGTAAAGACTATACTATAAAATAAAAAATACAGAATACTTTTATGAAACTGTTAACATATAAACTAATCATAATGTTTGCATGGATGCCCATGCATTTTATAATTTAGATGGATTTTCATGTTCTATCCTTGTTTTACTAAACGTGAGATTTCTTGAATATAAAACGCCGGACATTATAAAAAAAAACAATTTTAAGTCAGAGTTTAGCATTCTGTACCCATTAAATGAAGCATTTTTGGACTAAGTTGACTTAAATTGAATTATTTTTGTCTTAGGAGTTCATAGTTACTTAAGATCACTATTTTTTGGGACACTTTTACTCTTTACTTGTGTTGTATGACAGAAGAGCCATCCAGGGGAACTCATTCAAAGAAGCATTTTGTCCGTTTATAATTTTCTGATCTGAAGGTATATATCCGCAATCCTTTGGCAACAAATTGTAATTCCTGTGGTTGGAAACATCCGGAGGTTGAGGTTCCGTATTTTGTAGACTTTCTGGTGGAATTTTATCATCAATTTTGATGGGCGTATCCGGGCAACATACTTTAACTGTGTTCGCCTCGTAGCTACAAGTGTACGAATTGAGTTTCTTCTTAACTGGCTCTGATAAAGGTTTGGGTGCTCTGGCAAGGAAATCTATGATGGGTTTGCATTGTTTTATCCCTATGCAGTCGCCTGAAGCTCCGTCTGGAGTAAAGCATCCTTCATCGTCAACGACCCATTCTGGAAAAAAATAATAAAGGTGGTTTTCTACTAATATGTTAGTCAGAGTTTGATTTTATTTACTTTTGTCTATTTATATTTTATACCATACATGATGTATTTTTTTATTTCTCTGCGTTTTTCAATGGAGAATCTTTGGTTAGGTAAAACTATTTTCTCAAATAAATAAAGAAAAAAGAGACATTCAGAAGGTTAGATAAATCTGGATTCATGGTATTATATCTGGTTTCCAATGACTCAAAATTAAATCGAACTAGTAGATCATTTTGATAATAACAACTCTAGGAGGATAAGATCCATGATATAAAACTGATTTCTTTTAAATTGCCTTTGAACCGATTCTAGTTTTAACAACGAACGAGGTAAGTCGGATACCATATAATTGAATCATATTTGATTTTAGACCTAACAAGAACACAAAACAGAAATTATAAAAGTCCTTGAAGTTGCAATATAACATAAAACTACTAACATTATTACCAGAGTAGTAGTAATGGATGGTAAAATTAATTTTGTTTTGGACGATTTATCTCGTACCATGAAGATATTCTTCCTGAACTGGTTTGAGAATAAAGTTTAAAATTGTCAGCAACTAACAAATGTTCAAAGTAATCACTTCAGGAAGGTCGTTAATAAAAATTAAACATAATATGGCACCTAAATTGAAACCTTGTGGAATGCCCGATATACGAGAAAAAGACCTCGAAACGAAATTTTTATATATGACAATAAATTGTCTGTCAATATTATTGCCAATTCCTTTCGGAAGTCTCAATAAGTAACGCTCTGTTTCTCTACTCCCGAAAATCTGAGAAATATACTGCGAAAAATATTAAATTAGCCGCTGTTGTCTTTCTCTGCACGAGTCCATGTTGACGTGACAAAATATGCTACCTCATGCACAATTAAAAAATACCTCTATAATTAGATACGTCATTGTGATTTCCATTTTTCGGTGTAGAAGAAATGTTTTTTTTTCACAAGACGCGAATGCAGATTGCTTAAGATATGATTAAATATACAATAGCTCCACAAAAGTTTGCGCAAGATCTATGACAACAAAACTAGGAATTCCGTCTGCATCCATTGCAAAAGTGTCGTTTGATCGCTTCAGATTTTGTGGAACATTTCTATACAAAATATTTTGTAATTGTGGTCCTAAATTGTTGGAAACTAGTAAGTTTTTAAATTGTTTATAAGTATACTACACTTAAAAATGTATTTTTAAAAATCTTTCAACATATTCTAAATTTATTCAAGTAAGTAAAAAACCTTAATTTAAATAAAAAACTCGAAAACTGATCGGATAAAATATAATTTTTCTAAATTACACTTATGGAATTCTTAGCGAAAGTACCTCCCAGTGTCTGAAATGATTGACAGATTTGTATATGAATTCAGGGAACTTTTGCTTTAGTTAAATAATTTTATATTATTTCAAGTTATCTATCTGCATTAAACATCTAGTCCAGTTCAATAGATATGGACCATATCTATTAGAGGTGGAAAGAAAATAAACAAATAAAACCTTGACACCTACACACTTCAATCTTAGATTTATGTTTATGATATTACTTTGCTAATTGTTTTGCTACGAAACTATCATACATAAATGATAAGTTTGAAGTATGTTCCCATTCCAGCAACAATTTCAGTGGGAAATAATTACATGTAATTATTGAAGGAGGTTCCTTTTTGTTGGGATTTCCTCTAAAGGTTAGTCATTGAGGTTACCAAATTTGTAAGCAATCCTTAAGATTCTATTATTTATGCTGCTTTTTAAAATTATAAAACTGATAAAATAGATACATGTCTATTGTTCTCGACTGATATGTATGTGTATTTCTAGAAATAGGTTGATAAATTCTGTTTACTGATATATTAACTTGACCCATAATTACCACAATTGATAGCTATTCATTTTACGTTACGATGAGACTTAATTTTGGTGAAGATTTTGTTTTCATTATATATTACCATGTGAACAACATATTAACATAAATAAATTTGTAATTATTATACGAATTAATTGTTTCTCCGAAAAGTAAAAATCTTGTGAGGCTGTGAGTAAAAAAAGGAGATGTTTCTTTTCTGGCGTGTGTAAACACGAATCAATAAAAATATAAAATGTAAAATGTAAATGATGACTTTTATTCAAAGCATTTAACAATAAGTTTCCATGAAGGTAATAAATTTACAAATGTCTATCAATACCAGTTACATGATTTATGAAAGTTCCTCCGATTCTAAGAACATCAGTGTTGATGAAAAGAACTGACAAATACTTATACGTTTTCAACTTATTATCATTTGCAGGATGAGGATATCTATAAGTCTAAATATAGATTTCACCACACCAATACAAAACGCAGAGACAGTTGAATGGTATTTATGTCCTCTTTTTTAAGTTGAGATGGATATTTTTACACCTTTTTGTCCTTCAGGTACGGAAAAATTCCAGAATATTTATTTAAAGCTAAAATCAATTAGTGCTTCAAAAAATTCTCGATAGTGGCAGATGTATTGCTTTACATACAGTGTGTTTCGATATACTAGATAGGTAGGTGTACAAGTTTCAAAAATAAGTAAAAAAAAACAATACATTTCTAAAACTAGTACCTATAATCCTTTAGAAAATTAATTTAAAAAAAAACAGTTGACTGTCGCACATGTGATGTAAGTTACATATAATCTTTTGAAACAAAACACCCTATATTTTTTATACATTTAAAATCTGTACGATTTTTCTGAATGAAAAAATATATCCCCTTGTACGGGGACGTTAGGGCTTTTATCACTATAGTCTGTTTGGAAATGAAAGAGAGTAATAAAACCCCGAGATAAGAACCGGCCATGGGCGTGGTAATATTTCGTTTCAGGTAATTGTCGGGTAATACTAATGCTAACAGGTAATGGGTGTACATTAGTCTATTTTACTGGATACATCAAACGGCAGGAGCCAGTGTATTATGACAGATCAATCCAGTGCTAGTGCAGTAGAGTAAAATTCGACATGCGTTTAGTGACTATTGTGCCAGTGGATATAATATTGTTTGGGTAAAATGTCGAGCTTATCAGATTACGTACCTTCTAAACGCGTGAAAAGATGTGCGCTGTCTCAGAATGAGAAGATTATTATTTAAATGTATTTAATGCATTGAAACACCAAAATCCTACCAACAGTGTTGACGACATCGTGGAAAAGTGTTCCAAAATGACAGGGATTGGAAAATCGACTATATACAGACTTTTAAAGGAAACAAAAAATGAACAAGATACTGTAAATCCCCCAAAATCTTCTACAGGGAGGTCAAAAGTCGTTATAAATGATTTCTTCAAAAATGTCATTCGCAGAAAAGTACACTCATTTTATTTTAAAAAAGAAATACCAACACTAAACAAAATTTCACGCGAACTTTCAGAGGACAACGATTTGCCAAAAATCAGTAGAAGCAAATTATGGGCCGTCTTACGAGAGTTGAATTTTTGCTGGGAAAAGCAGAACAGGAAGTCAGTTCTTATCGATAAAGATGAAATTATTTGTTGGCGAAGATCCTACTTAAGATCAATTAGAAAATTCCGTGACGAAGGGAGGAATATTTATTATCTAGACGAAACTTGGATCAACGAGGGATATACTGTAACAAAAGTATGGCAAGATAAAAATGTAAAAAGTTTTCGACAAGCATTTTTGGATGGACTTTCAATAGGGTTCAAGGCACCTTCAGGTAAAGGGCGAAGATTAATAGTGACACATATAGGTAGTGCCAGTGGTTTTGTAGATGGCGGTTTACTTTTATTTGAGTCTAAAAATACAGGTGACTATCAAGAAGACATGAACGCAGACGTTTTCGAAGAGTATTTTACACAGATCTTATTCCTCCGGGGTGTGTACTTGTAATGGATAATGACAATTCACCACTGCCATTCACGGCAGACCGAGCGGACGCTTACAACTGCTTGGAGGAAAGCAGATATAATTCAATGGTTATCCGGAAAAAACATTTCTTTTGAAACAAATATGGCGAAAAAGGAACTTTTGACACTTGTCAATCTTAATAAAGATCAGAAAAAATATGTTATCGATGAAATGGCAAGAAATCGCCAAATAACGGTACTACGGTTACCACCTTATCACTGTGAACTTAACCCAATCGAATTAGTCTGGGCGCAGGTAAAAGGAGATGTAGCGCGAAATAATACGACGTTTAAATTAAGTGACGTGAAAATTTTGTTAAAAAATTCCTTGGAACGAGTAACTGCAGATAACTGGCAAAGATGTATACATCATGTACAAAAAGAAGAGGAGAAAATGTGGGAACTCGATAATTTAATTGACGTTACTGTGGAACCTATCGTTATCAATCTAGGAGACGAAGATAATTCATCAGAATATTCAGAGGATGAATTTTAATATACCTACTTTCTTATTTTCTTTATTGTACATTTATACAATACTACATTTACTCACTATAATTTGAATTTTCAAAATACATATATTTTTGTGTGGAATAAATGTCTATTCGTTAAATTTAAATAAATATTTTGATAATAATATATAATTTTATTTGAATTACTAAAAACCCTCTTAACCCGGTTATGATGCTTAAAGTAGCCTCATGTTTTGAAATGCTGTTTTTATATTGTTTACTTATGAGAGAAATGGACCGAGAAATTGAAGCGGCATAGACAAAGACGGATTGTCGGGGATTAAATTTTAGCTACCTGCTACAATTAAGTACAATCCGGTCACACAAAATTTTTTTAAAAGTATACCGATAATACATAATATAAAAATATTGAATATAAGCACAAGTACTACATTTATTTACGATTTGCATACATAATAAGCTTTTATTACTCTCTTTCATTTCTAAACAGACTATAAACAAATTTTACTCTAACATTCAAACATGAAAAATAGTATACAATAACTACGGTTAACCCGATATAGTGAATTTTTATCGATTTGACCTTAAAATGACCTTGAATCTGATTTGACAAGGTCAAACGGACATCGGATTCGTACTCAGCTACCCAAAAACATATAATAACCGGTTTGACCTTGAAATGGCCTTTAGCCTGACCTGCCAAGGTCAAACGGACCTCTTCTGGGTTACGATAATAGCAGTTTCTTAACAAGTCATTTGTTAGTAATTGAACAATTGGGAAATAAAATTGGTTTTCAGAGTAATTTTGATTATTTACAGTGAAAACGTGGTATTTTCATTGCAAATGTATTGCAGAATAATATGCATTTGTTCTATAATGAATCAAAAAAAGTGTTGCAAACAAATCCTATGTACTTTTAGCTGTAGAATTCGAATCTGCAATAAAAAATGGGAGTTCCTATTTAAGATTTCAAAATTACCCTCCTTTAAACCTAAAAGGGAGAGGGACTAGTTGTAGCACTAATGTATTTATCCCGCGAAATGATGAAATTTTGATTATTGGTATTTTTTTTCGTACAGTGCTTATTTTTCGAGATACTTGAAAGTTTCAGGTTAAAAGATACACCTGGTACATACATTACTTACAGTGTGTTCCGTTTTTCAGGTTAACACCTCTGAAAATGTGAGAAATCTGTGGACTTTACTCAAGCCAATTTTTTTTACAAATAGTACCCTGAAAGGAGGTTATATTCAACTAATCATTTTGTTGATGTAAAAAAAGCTTGGCCTACTACGATTTTTTAAAGGGGTCGTTTTTCCAGAAAGTAGTATTAGGCATTTTTTTATCAAAAATAATATTACCAGGCTATTCAACACGCATCAAAATACCCATATGCCAAATTTGAACGACAAATGTCTATTGAGTGTTTTTTTATGTGGTGCCAAACTTCGAAAAATCAGACAACTAAAAATTATAATAAGCAGGTCAAAGATTGCCATGAAAGTGAAAACAAGTACCAATCGGACAAAGGAAACATACAGACACTATTGATTGCGGCTACAATAAAAATAATAATTAACGTACAAAAAATGTACCTAAGTAATGGATTAAATATTAAGTTGTTAAACAAAAAATTGCAAAACAATCTAAAGTAAATTTTAGTTTTCTCGAACTATGGACTTTTACTTTTGAGGTTTTATAAAACAAGAAGTTTATAAAAATAGATCAAGGAATTTGGATGACCTAATGAATTGCATACGACAAGCTTGTGCAGGGATTACTCCACAACAGCTATGTAAATTATTTTTAAATTTAAGAAGAGGATTGGAAAAATGTGTTCGACTGGAAGGAGGTTTGGTGGAAAAAAAAATAAAACTTAATTTAGATTAATGTTTTGCAATTATTTTGATTAACAACTTAGTATTTATAATTCATTACATTTTTTGTAAGTTATTATTTTTACAATTAATAAATAATAATTAATTAATATAATTAAAAGTTAAATTTATAGTGCGTGTATTTTTTTCTTTGTCCGATTGGTTCTTGTTTTCACTTTTATGACAATCTTTGACCTGCTTATTATAATTTTTAGTTGTCTGATTTTTCGGAGTTTGGCACCACATAAAAAGCACTCCAAAGACATTTGTCGTTCAAATTTGGTGTATGGGTATTTTGATGGGTGTTGAATAGCCTGGTAATATTATATTAAAAAAAATGCCTAATACTACTTTCTGGAAAAACGACCCTTTTAAAAATCGTAGTAGGCCAGACTTTTGTCACATCAATAAAATGATTAGTAGGTATATAGAATATAACCTCTCATCAGGGTACTATTTGTAAAAAAATTGGCTTACTTTCTCACATTTCCAGAGGTGTTAACCTGAAAAACGGGACACACTGTATATTGATGATATTTGAAAATGATAATTTTAAATATTTTCTCTATTCCTACAAAAAGAGAAATTGTATTATAGAAAATTCTTGTTTATTCACTAACGCATGAAATTTTTTTATATTCATAAACGATTTAATATTTAATATATGCAAATCTATTTTGGTAGCAAGTAGTAGGCAGAAGCAAATTCAATAAAAACAAGTTATCTGTGTCCTACATTAAATACTACATTTGTTTCTTCAGTTTAGGTAATGATAATGAAATTAAATACAATATAACAAATATTTATGTGTACAAGTTACATTTGTTGGTTAATTGTACTATATGCATTTTATGTGAACATCCTCTATCATCAATCATTATAAATTGACTTATTCCAATTAAAAAAATGCAGCAACACAGCTTTTTTTGACTTTTGATACTTACGTGCCTTAACAACAAAATTCGAAATAAACACACACAGAACCAAACCTGTCACTAAACAGCGTATGCTCTTGCTATTTTGAGCCATGCTATCGAGCATATCGCGCCACACTTCTACGCAGACTGATCAGCCAGATTAAGCAAAGGAAATGTGGAGTTTCGACCATAGGAATTCAACATGACGCAGAATCGTACATTATTAATTCCTCGAAATGGATGAGATGATTGTTTATGTGTAATTTTATTTCCTAGTTTGTCAGATATTGGATATAGTATAAATTATTATTATTAAAATGGAGAAAGAGTGAGTAGTACAGCTATAGCTTTGTATAAATGCTTGACAGATAATTATAGCAAGTATTTCTTCGAATTTTAGATAGATCAGCTCTATAGTTATGTTGAGAAAACTTACTCAACTTGTCCGTTGTGTAATATCTATTTTGAATCAAAAATCAGATCAAAATTATAAATTTATTATTATTATTACACAATTTTCCAAAGCGTTTGAGATATCTGATGATGTTCTCCTTCAAAAACTGTGTAAATTTTCCTTTCAACCACCTACTTATCCAACAGATGTTTAATATCACGGTTTTAAGCCTGATGAACTTCTGGATTCATCTAATGTGCCTCAAGGTTTAATACTGGGACCACTGTTTATTTATAAATGATATCACTTGATCTTGATGTTTACTTCTTACTCTATGCTGATGGTATGAAATTGTGCTATACTGCTAACGACAGTTACGACTACGAATTGTTTAACTTTGAGCAAAACACAACATTGAAAACATTTTGTCATGTAATTATTATGTATAATTCTCAAATATTTAAAATGTGCTTTACTGTTTATTGTATAATACTCATCACAAATGTATCTCCATAAGATATTTTATTAAAAAATTTTTTTGACGGAACCACAAAACACATAGAGAACAAGTTTTATAAAGTTAACCTTGATCTACGTATATGCATTTGCATTAGGATAACCTGCATTAGGGTACTTCGTACATTTTTTTTTTCACTCCATTGACGAAATATTGTTCTAAACATTGGAAAATAAATTCTCACCAAATTTCAGCTCTTTCTCATAAATGACTAGATAAACAGTATAAATGTTTGTATTACTATCTTTTTTTCTGTTTTTACATTCTACTTTGCAGCGTTATATGTTAAAAATTATTTCATCAGCTATTCTATCATTATAAAATAATATAATGTACAAGAAACAATTATTTATCAATTTACAATCAAATATCAATATATGATAAATTTGATAAATAGGTACAAGAATATTTTAAGTATTCACACATTTGATTCTATTTATCTCGTGAACTAATAACTTTGCAGCTTAGATACAAAGAACCTTTTTTATAGCTAATTTAATTTCCTATAAAATTGTCATTTACGTTTTTGCTGTCTAGTTATTTATGAGAAAAATGTAAAAATCGATACAAATTAACTTTAAGATGTTTTAGCAGTGAAACCGTTCAAATCGCTAGATCCTGACTATGGGCACCTTCAAAGATTAAAGATTCTCCTATAATTATCATACAATAATACAATTAACATACAATAAAATAATGTGGAATGCAACCGATATACAGAAAATTTAAAACAAAACGTAGGTTTACGTGTTAAATGAATTGGAAAATTTTAAGATCAAATAGAATAAATAAATAAATAATAATCAATAAATTTTAAATTAAAGTAAAAATACGAGCTAATAATAAAATACATATGCCTTTTATCTACTTCTTCAATATGAGATTTCTTGTCTATATAAGAAAAAATCACATCCATTACGAATTTATTTTATTTCCAGTTGGAACAATTTAGTATGTCTGGAACAAATCATACCTAACCATCTATTCTAAAAAAGAGATAAAACCAGAAATAATAGTAATTACATTTTAATTAGAGAATTATACGGTACTTCATTATTTAATATTTAATGTATACTTTGGTAAGTAAACTATTAATTATTAGTTGGTTACGGGTCGATATTTTGTTAGAAAACATATGACATAGTCAGTTTTAATGTAATAAAAACACATATAATTATATCACAAATAATTATTTATTAATATTTTGTATTTCTCTAGAGAACATGTCACCTATTTGACTAGAATAATATTTTAATTATTACGTCTATATTAAGATAACGAAACATATACAGATACGCTTAATAATATTCAATAGCTACTTTAAACTAAGTACATATAGGTAAACAATATATTTTATTTATTATTTTCGTCTATGAATAAAACTTTACGGATGTAAAATTTGTGAAGGGTGATTTATTATTTTTGGTATATTGCTACTATGAATGTGGCAATAGTTTTATGTAATTCAATAATGATGATAAAAAGGCATAATTGTATACATTTTGATAATAAATATTTAGTAAATTCAATATCACATTTAGATTAGACCATAGTTGACACATTTTTAGAACACCTATACAGGATATAACATGAAGGTTTGCTTAAATTTTGACTTGTAATGTAATTTAACAAATTAAAAATTTCAAAAGATGCCTGATTTTATTTTCAGTAATTTAAAGCTTCAAACTCTAATCATGGTCAACTAGTTGACGAGATACAATATCTACAGGTATGGAAAGAGTCTGTACTAGGTAAAATAAAAATGCTTTATTCCTCCCTTTTCTGTTATTGAACGAACAGTTCAATAAATTACATTCATACCAACTTTTTGTTATTAAGATCAAAATAAAAAATAATAATACTGTGGGAGAGTCAATAATATAGACAGGCAGTTTTCTAAGACCTTGGACTGGCTTTTAAGACTTTAATGAACAGAGGGTCTTAAATCACTGATTTTCGACATACGGAATGTTGACAAAAAAAAATGTGATAAATACAATGTGTTTACTTGAGAGGATTTTAATAATAAGCATTTTCAATTTTTTAAACCGTTGAAATTGAAAAACGGTGCTTAAAATTAATAATAATCAAAATTGCTAAAACTTATTGAGAGGCTCTGGAACCGTCCCCTAGATAAAAAGAAGTAAATCAGTTCTCTTTTAGTTTCCATTGTGGTCTTTTGTTGTTTAAGATCAAAACAATAAACCAATGATTACCTAAGTGGTAATTTATTTTTCTGGACTTTTACTTGTAAGTGGGTTTTCTTTTTGTGAAAAGACTGAACACCTTTATATATACTCATAAACAGAGCCAGCCGAGCTATTGATGAAGTCAGCGGTAATAAAAATGTTTCTTCATATTATTGTGGTAAGTCGGTAGGTATAAAAAATGTTAGGTATATTTGTAAAATATATTCCTATCTATCGAGTTTTCGCATTTTTTACGAAATATTTGTTCTTCAAAGATCCTCTCTAAGTTTATAAACACCTATATATTTTTTATTTCCGACATACCGCATCGCGAGAACTAAAGGCTTTATACCCTGAATACATTAAAGCTTGTTGTCTCTAAATGATCCAAGGAACAACTCCTTGAAGTTACAACACAAACTTAGAATATATCCTGTTTAAAAATTTTTTTTTTCTAAAATTATTAATTTTTTGTAGATACAATACAATAAAATGTAAAGAAGAATGCTTAAAACTGTAAATATCTTGACAAAAGTGTTTAATATCTTGAGAATCGCTGTAATGGGGTGCAACAGCAACGTTACGAAAAACTTGTAAAGCTGATTTTTGTTAAAAAAACAATGGTTTTTAAAGCTTTGCATCCTTCAAAATTCAGATGTAAATTCCAGTTTTCTGTCAATTTATCATTGAAACTTGATACAGTACAGTGCTGTTCTGTTAAACATTTGACCAGAAACGTATAAAGTATAATTGAAATTATGATGGTTAAAGGGTTTCTAAGGTCAAATAAGTCCAAAGAAACTTTTGGCATAAATTTAGATAGGCTGCTTTCCAACAAAAGCCTTTATTTCTTTTTTTTAACACTGACATATCGTTTGAATCTAAATTTCATAAAAAACATATAATTATATTTCCAAAAACTAATTTTGTAGGAGAAAATATTTAAATATTGCTCTGAAATCTGATAATACAGGGCGATTTCACTTTAAATACAGAAACTGTATAAACTTTTTTCCCCTAGGGCGTAGTATTCAAGATACAGGGTGCCTCCAAAAAAATAATATTTTCTGTTATATCTTCATATTGCGCTGAACGATTTGAATGAATGTACAAAAGTTCGATTAATTAAGGAATATTGACATAACTGCATGTATAGAATACCATAAAATACAATGTTTATTTATCACTTTTTTGAACTTCTTTATGCTTAATTCTAAAAAATAATTAGCGTTGTAATAAATTTAAAATTCGATAAAATTCATATCGAGCAATGTGACAACAGCGCGGCGGTTTATTAACACGAGGTACTAAAATGTCTAGCAACCACCAATACGCAATTCAGTTGTTATCTGGATTCGACCGTGTCGGAGTGTTTTTTGTTTACCACTATTTCCTCTTCTTGAGGTGTTTTCCAGCGAGTGCGCGAAAATTGGATTCGAAGGTGTCGTGCGTACATCGACAATGGTGGTGGACATTTTGAGCATGTTGTAGTTTGTTTTGTACTTGTGCGTTTAAAAATTACTGAATTTTGCTTTTTGGTAAATACCTAAATAATTTTTAATACGTATGATTATTTGGAGGACGTGAATCTTTGGGTTTCTTTAATTACATATTTTTCAAATACGTAATTTGATTAAAAGTTAAGTTCCTGATTTAAAAGATTCATAATTACTAAAATTCGAGCTAAAATTTAAACACAACACTATCTTCGTACTAGAAAATCGATACATTTTATTTTATTTATCTAAAAACTGGAAAACAATTGTCTTGAAATTTACAAAATGTTCCACAATAATAGCTGTTTACATTTTTTCCGTAGGACAAGTCTGCCACCTGTACACGTGGTGTGTATCAGCAGGTCAAGCGCTGTTGTCACGTTGTGATGAAAGTCTCCAATATTAATACTTACTGTATTTTGAAAACTGCTAATATAATACACAACTTTCTTGTTCATTTATGAATACTTTATAAGTAATGGCAGTCAAACTTCTTACACTCTGTATAGAAGAAGATTCTTTACGAGGTTAAATTACTTTTTTTGACAGTTGAAACGCCTCAGACCTCTTCTAATACGATACAACAATTAGTTTTGTCTCAAATTTTATACGTAGAAAGCAAGTGCAAAGAGACTGCACTGTATTAAGTTTGAAGTTGTGTAATTAATTAAAAACTGCATTTCACTTCCATTCTTTAAAATATTGTAAAGTTCTTAGGAATCTCTCTTATTTTTATTTACATATTTGTTTTAATGAGAAAAATCAGTTTGTCGAAACGTCGCCGTATATTTTCTTAATAGCAACCAATAATTAAGGTTTCATGTTATCCAGAATCCAGTCCATGTAGTACGCTACTCGGGTGTAAACTCCTGGATATCCTTCCGTTCCGCAAAACCTGTGTCCGAAGGACACGATTCCCTGCTGGACGTATCTCGGCTCGCCGTTTACTGCCGCAGCCACTTGCATGGGGCCGCCACTGTCGCCAGGGCAGGAGTCCTTCTTGTTCTTCCCTCCGGCGCAGATCTGTTTGTAAGACAATTTCACTTTCTTTTCGGATTTGTAAACCTCAGAGCAACTCGTCAGGTTCATTATGGGTAAGTCGACTTTTTGGAGGACGTCAGCGTTTCGACCTGCAAAATGAAAATTAGTTAAATTTACAATTATCGTAATAGTACTAGTAACCAAATTGACCAAATTTATCTTGCTTTCTTGCGAGGTTTAGATGCACAGTGACAATGTTACCATACTAGCACTGCCCGTCTCAATCTACGGCCCTACTATTAAGGGTTCCTGTCTCTTATTGACCTACGAATCTCGCGGACAAGATGAGTTTCGTCGAGCTATAAAAATTAAAATATTATTCCAGTTTAGTCCACATTCGAGTGGGAGCAAATACAAAACAGCAAAGTAAAACGTAGACACCCAGAATCACATTGTTCATATTTTTAGAAGCTAATGTTCGGACTAACAAAGGACCCCGCACACATTTTATATGGAAAACGGTCTTCCGGTGAAATTTCCTAAAAATTTGGGAAATTGTTCGTTTTGTACTCCTGATCAAAAGTGTCAATGGGGTCGAAGCTCAAAATGCCCATCTTTAGGGTCTACGGCAATTTTAAGTGGCCAAAAACGGCAAAAATTCATTCAGCGTGTCTTCTCTTTCGCTTTATTTACATTCTTTCTCTAGAAATCCGCTTCAGTTATGAACTGCGAACTCTTGGAAAATCTTTGGCAACTCTTGGGAACTCTTTGAAAAAATGCATGAGAGTTCCGAGTTCATTGAAGGTTATTAAAACCACAAAATAATATTGAGACGGTGTGTATTAAATCTTGTATAATTGTGCATTCAAAAACCCTCTCACACAAATACATATACACACATATAATTAGACATGGACATATTCCTACATAAAATACTCACACGCATACAATTTAATGAAAACTTAAGGGACTGTACAAGCATTAAACATAATATTTAAAAAAAATTTGAATTTTTGCCGTTTTTGGCCACTAAAAATTGCCGTAGAGCCTAAAGATGGGCATTTTGAGCTTCGACCCCATTGACACTTTTGATCAGGGGTACAAAACGAACAATTTCCCAAATTTTTAGCAAATTTCACCGGAAGACCGTTTTCCATATAAAATGTGCGGGGTCCTTT